ATTATGGCCTGGAGAATTCCATGGACTGTATAGTCCATGAGGTCACAAAGAATTGGACATGACTGAGTGATTTCCACTAAAAAAATGGGAATAGAAATGAACTTCTGTAACTTGGTAAAGAGTATCCATAAAAGAACCATAGAGAAACACAACAGTAACCTCATACTTAGGAGTCAAAGGCAGTAAGTTTTCCCCTCTAAAATCAGAAATGAGGCAAGAATGTCACTTTCATTACTTTTCTTCAACATTGTACTAGAGGTTCTAGGTGGGGCAATTAGGGAAGACAATGAAATAAAAAGTATCCAGCTTGGAAAAGAAGGAGTAAAAGTATGATCTTTATATAGAGAAATCCCTAAAGAACCCTCACACAAAAAAAGCAAGGTTATTGGATATAAAATCAATATGCAAAAATCAGCTATATTTCTGTACACTAGCAAGGCACAATCTGAAAATGAAATTAAGACAATGGTTCCACTTACAATAGCACTTTAAATAAAGGAATAAATTTAATCATACAAGTATAAGACATACACTGGAAAAATACAAAATATTGTTGAGTAAAATTAAACAAAACCTAAATAAATGGAAAGATATTTCATATTCATAGACAAGAAGACTTAATATGAAATAGTTTCCCTGGTGACTCAGTCGGTGAAGAATCCACCTGCAATGCAGGAGACCCAGCTTCCATCCCTGGGTGGGGATTGTCCCCTGGAAAAGGACCTGGCAACCCTCTCCAGCATTCTTGCCTGGGAAATCCCATGGACAAAGGAGCCTGGTAAGCTACAGTCTATGGCATCACAAAATCAGACAGAGCTTAGGGACTAAACCACCACCACCACAGATTCAATGCAATCCCTGTAAAAATTCTAACCATCATTTTTGCATTAATGGACACTCTGATCCTAAAATCTATATGAAAATGAAAGGAACTTAAAATAGCTAAAACAATCTAAAAAAAAAAAAGCAAAGTTGGAAACCTCACACTTCTCAATTTCAATATTTACTACAAAGCTACAGAAATAAAGATAGTGTGATACTGGCATAAGGATAGACATATAGATTGATGGAATATAATTGAGAGTCCAAAAATAAGCACATACATCTATGCATGTTAAGTCACTTCAGTCATGCCCAACTCTTTGTGACCCTGTGGATGGTAGCCCACCAGGCTCCTCTGTCCACAGAATTATCCAGGCAAGAATACTGAAGTGGGTTGCCATGCCCTCCTGCAGGGGATCCTCCCAACCCTAGGAAAGAACCCTCATCTCTTATGTCTCCTGAATTAGGAGGCAGATTCTTTACCACTAGCGCCACCTGGGAAGCCCACATCCATCAATGGTCGATAAATTTTCTTTTCTTTTTTTTTTTTGCAGTTTTTTTTTTTAAATCGAAGTACAGTTGATATACAATAATACATAGGTTCCAGGTGTATAATATAGTATTTCATAGTTGTTAAAGGTTATACTCCATTTATAGTTACTATAAAATATTGGCTATATTCCCTGTCTGTGTAATATATCCTTGCACCATATTTTATACATAATAATTTGTTTGCCTTAACTACATACTCCTATATTATTCCCCCTCCCCTCTCCCTAATGGTAACTGCTAGTTTGTTCTTTATATCTGTGACTCTGCTTCTTTTTTGTTATATTCACTAGTTTTGTATTTTTTAGATTCCACGTATAATTGACATCTTAGAGCATTTGTCTTTTTCTGACTTATTTCACTTAGCATAATACCTTCCAAGTCAATCCATATTGCTACAATTGGCAAAATTTCATTCTTTTTAACTAAGTAGTATTCCAGTGTGTGTCTGTGTCTGTGTCTGTCTGTGTCTATGTGTCTGTGTGTCTGTGTGTGTATACCTGCCAGGCTCCTGTCCGTGGGATTCTCCAGACAAGAATACTGGAATGGGTTACCATGCCTTCCTCCAGGGGCTCTTCCCAACTCAAGGATCAAACCCATGTCTCTTTACGTCTCCTGCATTGATTAGCAAGTGGGTTCTTTACCACTAGCACCACCTGGGAAGTATATGTGTGTGTGTGTAAATATATATGTATATATATATATGCATGTATCTTTTCAAATGAATGTTTTTGGATATATACCCAGGAGTGGAACTGCTGGGTCATATAGTAACTCTATTGTTTAGTTTTTTGAATTTTCCATACCATTTTCCACAGTGGCTATACCAATTTACCTTTCTACTAACAGTGTATAAGTTTCCCTTTTTTCCACATCCTTGCCAACATTAGTTATTTGTGTTCTTTTTTGATGATAGCCATTTGGACAAGTGTGAGGTGATATCTCATTGCTGTTTTGATTTATATTTAACTAAGGTCTGTCTAGTCAAAGCTATGGTTTTTCTAGTAGTCATGAATGGATGTAAGAGTTAGACTATAAAGAAAGCTGAATGCTGAAAAATTGATACTTTTGAACTGTGGTGTTGGAGAAGACTCTTTTTTTTTTTTTTTGGAGAAGACTCTTGAGAGTCCTTTGGCTTGCAAGGAGATCCAACCAGTCCATCCTAAAGGAAATCAGTCCTGAATATTCATTGGAAGGACTGATGCTAAAGCTGAAACTCCAATACTTTGGACACCTGATGCGAAGAACTGACTCCTTGGAAAAGACCCTGATGGTGGGAAAGATTGAAGGCAGGAGAAGAAGCGGGTGACAGAGGATGAGATGGTTGGATGGCATCACCAAGTGAATGGACATGAGTTTGAGTAAACTCCGGGAATTGGTGATAGACTGGCCTGGTGTGCTGCAGTCCATGGGGTGGCAAAGAGTTGTACATGACTGAGCAACTGAACTGAACTGAATGATTAACAATATTGAATATCTTTTCATCTGCCTATTGGCCATCTGCATGTCCTCTTTGGAAAAATATCTACTCAGTTCTGCCTATTTTTAAATTGGGTTGTTTGTTTTTTGATGTTAAATTGTTTGAGTTATTTGTATATGATGGATATTAACCCCTTATTGGTCACATAATTTGCAAATATTTTCTTCTGTTCATTAGGTTGTATATTAATTTTGTCAGTGGTTTCCTTTGCTATGCAAAAGCTTGTAAGTATCATTAGGTCTCATTTGTTTATTTTGCTTTTATTTCCTTTGCTTTAGGAAACAGATCCAAAGAAAAATATTGCTATAATTTATGTTAGAGAGTATTCTGCCTGTTTTCCTCTAGGAGCTTTTTGGTTTCTGGTCTTACATCCATCTTGAATCTATTTTGTATATGGTGGTGGTGGTGGTGTTCAGTTGCTCAGTCATGTCTGACTCTTTGTGACCCCATGGACTGCAGCATGCCAGGTTTCCTTGTCCTTCACTATCTCCCGGAGTTTGCTCAAACTCAAGGCTATTGAGTTGATGATGCCATCCAATCATCTCATCCTCTGTCACCCTCTCCCTCTCCTGCCCTCAATCTTTCCCAGCATCAGGGTCTTTTCCAGTGAGTCAGCTCTTTGCATCAGGTGTCCAAAGTATTGGAGCTTCAGCTTCAGCATCAGTCCTTCCAATGAATATTCAGGGTTGATTTCCTTTAGGATTGACTGGTTTGATCTCCTTGCAGTGCAAGGAACTCTCAGGAGTCTTCTTCAACATCACAGTTCAACGACATCAGTTCTTCAGTGCTTAGCCTTCTTTATGATCCTCACACAACTTTCTCACATCTGTACATATGACTACTGGAAAAACTATAGCTCTGCCTATATAGACCTTTGTCAGCAAAGTGATGACAGACACTGTGTATGTTTAACATGCTGTCTATGTTTGTCATAGCTTTTCTTCCAAGAAGCAAGGGTCTTAATTTCTTGGATTTCATAGCTGCAGTCATCTGCAGAGTTAGGGGCCAGGAAAGCAAACAGTTACAGATTACAGATTAGGAACAATTGCAGTAAAAACTAGGAATGTTCAGGCCTGCTCACTGTTCTCTTTTTCTTCTTCATTCTCAGGAAAGTGAAAGAAAAACTCATTCCTCTTTTTCCTTTTCACTGCAACAGAAGTCATTCATAGAGGAAATTGTCTAAGGAATGGGAGGGAATTTCCTAGTGGTCCAGTGGTTTGTTACTTTCCCTGTCCCTTCCCTGGGCTCTGGTGGCCCAGTGGTGCTTTCCTTGGTTGGGGAATTTAGATCCTGCAGGCTGCATGGTGTGGCCATTTAAAAAAATAAAAGGAATGGGAGTGGACTCTGTCGAAGTGCTGTCCAATAGAACGTTTCTGTAGTGATGCAAATATTCTATATTTGTGCTGTCCAATTAAGTGTTTAAAAAATATTAAATATGCAAGCAAAATAGTCAGAAAAGCTGTAAACTAAACTGCCACAATGCTTTTCTCTGGAGAGCTAAAAAATACTGGCTTTGGTATCAGGCCTAGAGTAGCTACTTACTCTCCACACCCATGCTTCCTTCCCTTTGAAAAAATAATTTTTTGTTTGTTTGTTTGTTTGCAAAAAGTTGAACAGTTACTTGTGAGACCACCTGTTGCACTGCTAGGATTGGAGGATATTCACAGCGTGTTCTATGCGAATGCCCGCCCTGGAGCACAGAAGGCTGCAAATGGTGCTCTTCCCAGCCATGCCCCAACTATAAGGAAAGTGTCTCTGAGAGCCTCATGAGAGGTTCTCTCCTTTCCCTAAGAAAAAGATCCTTAAATTCATCAGCTTCACTGTTCAGATATTTTGAAAATGACCTTAGACCAATACAGTGTTAACATTGTCTTTGTTGTTACTAATGAAGAAGAAAAGCAGAATAGCCAGAGAAATATCATCCCACCACTTCTCCCACACACCCCTGGTCTTTACCCCACCCAGTCACCATGTGAAGGAAGAGCAATTTGTGTCAGAAATGGCTTTGGGCTCCTTGCCTGGTCCGTGTTGAGCTTACTCTTCTAGTCCCTAGGGCCCGGCCAGCAGTAGGGCCCGGCCAGCAGTAGGGCCAGGAGAATCCACTGTCAAGCCCAAGGTAGAGATAACGAAGCCGTGTTTGCGTTGTCAGTGGTGTGGTTCATCAGAGAGCTGATTGGGGCAGCATCCACGAGAAGATATGTCAGCTTCTGATCCCCCTGCGCACCTCCATGCCCTTCTACAACTCGGAGGAAGAACGGCAGCATGGCCTGCAGCAGCTGCAGCAGCGTCAGGTAGGGCCTGTGGGACGCTGCAGGTCTAAGTCAGGGGTGCAGCACAACGGCCCCAGTGAAAGGGCGGCCTGTGCAAGGCCACTGAACTGCAGCCTCTGAAGGCAGAGGTGTGGTTTTATGTCTTTATGCCTTCAATTCCGTCAGTTGTCCGCAAATTCGCTGAATCACTGCAGTATTAGCTCCCTAGAGCTGCTGCCATAACCAAGTACCACAGATGGGGGGCTTGAGCAACAGAAATTTATTTTCTCACGGTTCTGGAGGCTGGAAGTCCAAGATCAACAGTAGGTTGTCAGCAGGGTTGATTTCTTCTGCGGCCTCTCCCCTTGGCTTGCAGACGGCCGCCTTCTTGCTGTGTCCTCCTGTGGTCTTTCCTCTGTGTGCATACATCCCTTGTGTCCAAATTTCCTCCCCTAATAAAGGCACCACTAGATTGGATTAGGAGATACCCCATTACCTCATTTTAATTTGACTGCCTCTTTAAAAAGCCCTATCTCCAAATGCAGTCCCATTGTGAGGTACTAGACGTTAGCGCTTCATCATATGAATTTTGGGGACGTCTCTGGTGGTCCAGTTGTTAAGACTGCCTCTCAGTACAGGAGGTACATGTTCGACCCCTGGTCAGGGAACTAAGTTCCTGCATGCCTCATGGCCAAAAGACCAAAATGTAAAACAGAAGCAATATTGTAACAAATTCAACAAAGGCTATAAAAACGGTCCACATTAAAAAAAAATCTTTAAAAAAAACTTATGAATTTTGGGGTTACAAAATTCAGCCATAGCTCCCAAACATGCTAAGTATTGTGATAAGAGCCTAGGCGCATAGTAGAAGGTCAAGAAATGATGAATGAATATACTAGTTAATAAATAAAGGAGATTGGGAAAAATTATTATGGCATTGATAACATTTCAGTTATTATGAAAAAATAATGCTTTATAAGCCATAAATCTCAAAACAAAAGATCCATTGATTTTAGTATAGTGACACTTGGAGAGTGGCCTTAGAATGATGTAGAGTCAAAGTTATTTCTAATATTAACTAAGCGTGATAATTCCAGAAGGAAAAATATGTTTGTCTCAAAATTAACTCAGAAAGGCAGAAAGTTTTAGACTCTCCGGAAACATTACAGTTCTGCTAAACTAAAATTTTATTAAGAACATAATAATATTCATTTAATAATTTTATATTGAGCACTCATTTATACCAAGTACTGACCTATGATGAAAAGATCCTTGTCCCTGGACCTTGAGGAACTCACTGTCCAGAGTTTTCCCTTCTAATCACCTATTTTGGGTCTCAAGTCCACCTCAATGTGGGCAGGCTCACTATGGGCTCTTGACCAGGTCGTTAGGTGTTGCCCTTATCTCCAGGGGTACCTATAACCACCATTACCTTTTACCCTTAGATGTTTCAGATAGTCTCTCATTTTTTCTTCCACAGAAGCATTTGATTGAACTCTGCTACACCGTTGCCCAAAAATACATCTTTGAAGGAAAACACGAAGATGCTGTCCCGGCAGCTTTGCACTCTCTTCGCTTTCGCATGAATGTGCATGGCCTGAGTTCAGTTGAGCTGGTGCCTGCCTACTTGCTGTTGGCTGAAGCCAGCCTTGGTAAGTGAAACTGACTAGAGACCCCCTGGAACCAGTAAGAAGTGCTGTATTGAGTCATGATGGTGGTGGTTTAGTAGCTAAGTCCTGCCCAACTCTTGTGACCCCATGAACTGTAGCCCACCTGTGGGCTACAGAGACTACAGAACTGTAGTCTCCTGTGTCCATGGGATTTTCCAGGCAAGAATACTGGAGTGGGTTGCCATTTCCTTTTCCAGAGGATCTTCCCAATGCAGGGATCAAATCCACATCTTCTGCATTGCAGGCAATCTCCTACATTGTAGGTGGATTCTTCACTGCTGAGCCACCAGGTAAGTACATATTGGGTCATGTTAATGGCCAAAATGTCCAGCTCTGGCAATGGCACCAAGACACATTTTGTGGAAGAACAGGATTGTTGTAAAGTTTGGCACAAGGTGGGGAAGGAGATGTCTTGGACTTTTGGTTATAACCGACCCATATCCATGCTAGCTGGCCTTAGCAAAAGGAGGAAGTTTATTAGGACGCTGGAGTGTCCTAAAGGAAGGGAGGCTTTGTGAGATACTAGACTCTGAATGCTATAAGAAGCCAAGGCTAGTGCTGTTTCTCTCTTTTGGGTCTTGTCTCTGTTTCTCTCTGCATTCTGCTTTATTTTCCATCTCTACAGACAAGCTTTTTCTACCCTCTGCTTACTGCAGAAGACAGCTACCTCAAAATATCATAGGTAGCTGAATTTACATTGAATTTACATATCCTTCAGGTTCAAGGTGGGTAATAGAAACTAATTAGCATCTGATTTCCAATGTTAAATTCCTGAAAAATAGAATTGTGTTGACTCAGCTCGAGTGTGGTATCCATCTGTATCTACCTTTGTGTTGGAGTCACACAGTTCAAATACAAAATTAGGAACCTGCTCCTACTGATGGGAGAGGCAGTTCTGAGAGCAGTGAGCACAGACTTAGCAGACAGCACACATGGTGGTTTCTACAAGAGGAGAATTAGCATTTTCGAGGGGAATGAACATTTTTTAGCATCTACAGCATTTTAGGTACTGTTTTGTTGTTCAGTTGCTAAGTCCTTTCCGACTCTTTGTGACCTCATGGACTGTGGCATGCCAGGCTCCTCTGTCTTCCACTATCTCCCCAAGTTTGCTCAGATTCATGTCCATTGAGTTGGTGATGCTATCTAACCATCTCATCCTCTGCTGCCCCCTTCTCCTTTTGCCTTCAATACTGTACTACTGCTTTGTATATCTCAACAGCCATTATTTTTTTAAAAAAACTTTTAAAAAAGTAAAACTGTTGGAAATACTATAAAGGACTTCCCCCCTAAGCTATCTGAGAGTAAGCTGCTTACCTGATGCCCTATGCCTTGACTACTTCAGTGTGAGTATCCTACAAAGATGTCTCCTTCTTAACCACAGTACAATCTTTATCGACGATTGTCTACTAAGTAGACCCCATTCAGCTTTTTCCAACTGTCTCAATCACATTTTTACAGCAAAAGGACAGAGCCCAGAATCACAGTCTCATTCTGTTGCCTTGGCTGTTTAGTCCCCTTCATTCTGGAATAGTTTCTCAAGCTTTCCTTGATGTTTACCATGTTGACACTTTTAAAGATTAAAGGCCAATTATTTTATACAATGTCCTTCAATTTGAGTTTTTCTGATGTTTCTTCATGACTGAACTCAGGTGATGTGTCTTTGGCAGGAATATCACAGAAGTGATGCTGTGTTCTTCTCATCCCATCCTAGAAGTTGGGATGTGTTTTTAGTTTGTTCCATTATTGATGATGTTCAAGTTACTTTATTAAGGTGGTATCTGTCAGGCTTCTTCTCTGTAAAGTTACTCTTTCCTCTCTTTGCAATCAATAAGTTATAGAGAGGTATTTGAAACTATATAAATATCCCATTCCTCAACAAACTTTCAGTGAATATATTTATTTATATCACCATAGACCTTTGTTTTCCTATTTTGTTTAATGGGTTACAATCCATTAGTATCTTTAATTTGATGTTCAAACTGTCCTTGATTTGGCAAGTGGCAGCCCATCACACTGGCTTCTGTGTTTCCTTGACACATCCCCACTGTTCTCTTTCTTTTGTGTTTGTTTCTTGGGAGGTTGTGTGTGTCTGTGTGTGTCTGGCTATGAGGCTTACAGGATCTTAGTTCCCTGACCAGAGATAGAACCTGTGCCCTCTGCAGAGAAAGCATGGAATCCATTAGCACTGAAAAGTGAAAGTGAAAGTGTTAGTTGCTCAGTAGTCCGATGCTTTGCAACCCATGGACTGTAGCCCACCTGGCTCTTTTATCCATAGGGTTTTTCAGGCAGGAGTCCTGGAGTGGGTTGCCATGCCTTTCTCCAGGGGATCTTCCTGACCCAGGAACTGAATCAGGGTCTCCTGCATTGCAGGCAGATTCTTTACCATCTGAGCCATCAGAGAAGTCCTGCATTGGCACCACTGAACCACTGAGCTGCCAGGGAATTCCCTCCCCATCGTTCTTCGATCATTTTTCCTGCTTTCTGAAACCTATCTGCAAGGAGCCCTGATTTCTTTTAGTGGAAAATGGAATTTAGAAGCCATGAATTGTGCACTAGACATACTCATTGCTAGGGAGGTATGGCTATTCCCAGGCTTCCCAGTGGACAGAATTAGGAAATATGTGTATAATAATGTGTATATGAATTGATGCTTTTGAACTGTGGTGTTGGAGAAGACTCTTGAGAGTCCCTTGGATTGCAAGGAGATCCAACCAGTCCATCCTAAAGGAGATCAGTCCTCGGTGTTCATTGGAAGGACTGATGTTGTAGCTGAAACTCCAATACTTTGGCCACCTCATGTGAAGAGTTGACTCATTGGAAAAGACCCTGATATTGGAAAGATTGAAGGCAGGAGGAGAAGGGGATGACAGAGGATGAGATGGTTGGATGACATCACCAACTCAATGGACATGAGTTTGGGTAAACTCTCAGAGTTGGTGATGGACAGGGAGGCCTGGCGTGCTGTGGTTCATGGGGTTGCAAAGAGTTGGACACGACTGAGCGACTGAATTGAACTGAATGTGTATATGTATATGCACATTATTACTAAATCTCTTTATCTCTCTGTACATCTATATCTATATATGATCTTGGGTCCCTAGGACTACATTTAAATCCACAGGGTTCAATCTCATTTTCTCCCGTTCTATATTTGTAGTTCCCTTCTCTGACAGTGAGAATGTTGGCTTTCATTTTCACTGATGTATTTATATATTTAATCTGTTAGCCTGTATGAGTTAACCTCCCGTCTCTAATCCTATTCTTTCCCCTTGCAGATGCCCTCCTCTCCTTCTGTGGGCTCTGACTCCTTATTCTGGGGTGCCTCTTCTGCATGGACCCCCTCCTCACTGGTTTGCACTCCCTCTCTTCATCCCAGCCCACTTAGCTGCAAGAATACCCTTTTTACCCTGCTTTGGTCCAACTCCCCATTCTGGCCTGTCCCTCCTCCATGACTAGTGGAAGACCACTGAACAAGGAAATACAGCCTAGGCTCTGTTTATCTCTGACACTGACTCGCTCCGGAATATTGGAAAAGTCACCCTAGCCTAAATCCTATCATCTCTCATCTGAATTACTCCCTGCCAACTGGCCTCTGCAATCTTCCCCGGCCTCCCTCTAATCTGGTCTCTAAACAAAATGTGACCAAGTCACTCCAATAAATAAAGACCAAGTTCCCAAAGCAACCTGTGAGCCCATGCTTGGTCTAGCCTTTATGAATTCTCTGCCTCACCTCTCATCTTCTCTCTCTTTCAGTTGCGTTGGCCTTCTCTTGTTGGCACTGCGATGCTTCCTTGTTCTGGAAGGTTCTTCTATAGCTACTCTCCCCACTTCTCCTCCCCTCCCTCTCACCTGACTAACTCCTATTCACCCTTCAGGCTCAGCTTGAGTCACCACTCCCGTCTAGAACCCTTTCCCAAGCTCCCAGACTGAGTCGATTCTCCTTTTTTGTGTATGCAGTTAGAAACATCTTTCTTTTTTCTGGGCACTTACCTTGATAATAGTTATACATTTGTTGATGGGGCTTCCATGGTGGCTCAGTTTTAGAGAATCTGCCTGCCAGTGCAGGAGATGCGAGGTTGATCCCTGGGTTGGAAAGATCCCCTGGAGAAGGAAATGGCAGCCCATTCCATTTTTCTTGCTTGGGAAATCCCATGGATAGAGAAACCTGGCGGGCTAGTGTATGGGGTTACAAAAGAGTCTGACACGAGTTAGTAATTAAACAAGAACAACATTGTTGATGAGCTTATTTAATTCAAGTCCCTCTCCTGCAATAGACCATAAGTTCAGGGGGAACTGGGATGGTGTATATTCTTACTCATCATAGTGTCTTTACATCGAGAACAGTACTTAGTGTAGAGAAGGCATTCTAAAACCCTCTCACAAGACCTGACACCTAAATGGGAACTCTGTAAGCATTTGTTGAACCTGAGTCCTCTTCACAGGGCTGTTTTGAGGATTAAATGAATTTGTGTGTAATGAACAGGAAAGTGCTTTGCAAGCAGGAAAGTGCTATCTAGATGGAAGGTTTCATTATAACTCCCACCATTACTGATTTATAACCTTACCAACCTTTTTGAAAGTCTAAATAAATCACATGCCCCCCCCCCCGCCATTCCTCTCCCATCTTAGAGATTCCTCCAGACTGGAGTGGAAAAATTACAGGTATTCATCTTTTTTTTTTTTTTTTAAAGTAAAACTTTGGAATTTTAACCCACTGGAAAATGACATTTTCAATAACACTTCAAAGAGGAGCCACTTTACTCACCTTCCCTCACTCTAGTCAGCACTTTGGAACTGGGAGAACCTAGGTTTATTTTTTTTGTTTTGTTTTGTTTTTTGGGTTTGGGTTTTTTTTTTTTTTTTTTTTTTTTATCACAACCATAGTGTATCTTTTTTTTTTTTTTTTTTTTTTACATGTATTCCCCATCCCGGTCCCCCCTCCCACCTCCCTCTCCACCCAATCCCTCTGGGTCTTAGAACCT